CGCCCAGCTTAAAGTGGTCATCCCGTTGCTCGGCAGTGAGAGTGCGAAGATAATCAAGCCCACGCTGCGGGAAAATTCCTCTCGAGCCAAACCAGTGGGAGACGTGGGGCGGATCAGGTGGTGGACCAGAGGGAGGGGGAGGTCCTCCTCCGTTTGGGGGCGGCCCATTGCCGCCCGAGTCACCATCTCCTGCCCCGCCATCTCCTGGGTCACCGGGTGACGGGCCGGGCGGCGGCGGGGGTACAAATCCACCCCTACCTCGAGCACCTCGGGCGCCTCGTGGAGCTCCACCTGCTCCTTTACCGCGACCCCTCCCCCGAGCTCGGCGCGTTGGCGGTACAGGCTGCGAAGCACCTCCTTCACCGTCCCCGCCTCGACCTGTCATTTCTCGGGTATCCGGGGGCGTGTCTTGGGTGTCTGGAGGCGGAACGACTGTATCTCGGGTGATCGGAGGTGGTGGCGGTGGCGGTGCACATACACGTTCATTATGTATAAATACACACCAAGTCGACACGTGCATGTGCAGGGGTGCGCACACAGACATTCATTATATGCAAACAGACCAAGTCGACACGTGCATGCGCAAGAGCGCGTACACATACGTTCGTCATATACAAACACACCAAGTCGACACGTGCATGCACAGGGCTGCGCACACACACCCAAGTCGACATGTGCAGGCGCAGGGATGCTTATACAGACATTCATTATATACACACAGACCAAGTCGACACGTGCATGCGCAATGGTGCGCACATAGACATTCAGACATTTATTATATACACACACACTGAGTCCAAACCTGCATGCGCAGGGATGCGCACATACACGTTCATTATATACAAAGACACCATTATATACACACACACACCAAGTCGACACGTGCATGCGCAGGGGTGCGCACACACACACCAAGTCGACACGTGCATGCGCAGGGGTGCGTAGGGGTGCGCACACACCATTCGTCATATACACGTCAAGATCTGTGACTTTGACGTGCTTCACACCGCTCACACGTCCATTGAGTATCAAAGTCTGCCAAGAATGAGATCGCAAAAGCCTACTGGCTGAGCATGCAAAGAGTCAAGGCAGCTGACCGCAGCGGTATTAGTCTCGCGGGATGCGGTGATACACAACAGACACGATCAGAAAAAGGGCGCAAGCTCTACGAGAGAAGATAGAAACGGGAAGAAGCGAAGGATACGATATAGCTGACGAGATAGCATCCTGTCTGAATACCCAAACAAGCGCAACTCATGAAAACAGTCACGCAAACGCGCCGGCAGCAAACACTCTTTCTCTTTCATCGTGTAATCGAGCACACGCAGCAAGTGGCTATAGACGAGATGGGCCTTGCGACCAGCGGACATTGACGACCATGCATGAACATAACGAATGAAAGGCAATACAGTGTGAGAGGAATAGGGAGTAAGCAAGTGGGCATTAGGGTTGTGTTGTGAGAGAGTGACTTGTGTCGCATCAATGTGCACATCGCAGCCAACATACACACCTGACTCATCCTTCTCTAACACACATTTGTCATGATAGAAAGTGGGTACCAGCAACCGATCGACAACTGCACTCAACGCGTGATGCAGGCGGGCAGGCAGACACGCATGTGGTGGCACGACTAGCAGACGGTCATCCATCCATCGACGTACGAAACAGAACCGAAAAGCCTCACGCTCATCCGACGACAGACAATCGATAAAATGTCGCTCACGATGAGCAGCGAATATGTTGGCTAGGCCTGGACTCAACTGACTGCCCTGTGCAAACCCCTCACGCTGAAACAGCAACAGACCACTGAGCGATGTGTAGCTATAGGCCAGGTCATGCTTCACAACATCAAGGACATCCTCTAATGTGTAAGTACGACACGAAAAATAATTACAGTTAGTGCTGAAGAATGGTTTGACACGACTGCTGGTGGTACGGCGCATACAGCCATACAGACCCGGATAGAGACGCGAAGATGAACGGATGCACGGCCAGGCAGGAGCACGAGGCACATTGACAAAACGATAGCGGGTGTGGGCGACAGTGTAGTCATAGAGCGCACGCAACGCATCAAGTGAGTCATCACGTGGGCAGCTAGGGTAGAAATTACCAATATCATGGACATGCACGGTAGACGGTGACAGCACACAGCCATTCAGTACAGCGTGGCCATGGATGAAACGATTGTGAGATGCAAGGGCGTCAAAAAGCGAACCAATGCGCATGCAGGAGAAGTGATCCTCTCTCCAATCGTTCCACATACTCAAAATGCGACCGACATCATTGTACACACGCGCAAAACGATGCTTGTAGTATGAGTTAAGTGGTCGCCACTTCATATCATCCCATGAATGCAAACCTACGCGAAACGCCTTCATCTTCGGCCAAAGCACAGCCACGCCCCATGCATGGGACACACGAGGCTTAGCAATGCGAGGGCCGTCAAGAAAATCAGGCAGACGTGAAAGGTCATTGAGCACCACATCATCATTACATGTGGACAGCACATATGATGGACTGGCGAGGTGTATGCGCCAGTTGGCGCGCATGTACATGAGTGGACACATCCAAACCATGTCTCCCTTGCTCTTATCTAGAGGTGCAGCAACCAAACGACGAAGTGTGGATGCATGACGCAACACATCATGAATACGTACATACTGACCTGTCTGAACTAACCGATCGTACACTGGCTTGAGGAACGCATGCGCACAGAGGTCCAAGGTAGAAGTGGGTGGCACTGGCTGAGAGATACGACGAAAGATCCGTGTGATGATACGAGTGAACTGACGGGTGATAGCGGAAAACGAAGGTAGGCAGGTACTGTTTCGATTCCAATGAAGCGGCACGCCAAGCAACTCACGCATGAAGGGCTCGCTAAGACGTGCACACACATGACCACCTAGCTTGGGAAACGCATCATATGCAGGCAGACTGCATGGACACGACACCTCATTCATAGGAAGAGATGCCACACGCTTGGCATTGTAGTAGAGCGATGTGAGAGATGGACACGTCGACGGGATAAAGGCAGCCTCAACATGATACATGGAAGTGGAGGTGGATAGATCAGTGAGTAGCAGGCGAGTGACCGACAAAACAGCCTGACGAAACGGTGCCACATCATTCAACATCAATGGGACATGCACACGCCGAAAGACACGAGGCCTCCAGACACGCATGTGTTGTATTGTACCGACAGCCTTACGAAATGCACTCGAAAACCACTCCCAGTCAATCCCCATTAGCGTACGAAACCCACACACATACAGACGTGACTTGTCCGCATCAGAAAGGGCGCGAACAGATGCACACAAGGCCTGGCTAGGTGCAGGACGCCTGGCTAGCATGGCAGCAGTGGCAATGAGTGTAGACGACGGCACGCGAGCAGCAGATAATGATACATGTAATGAATCGCCAGTCAGTGATGAGGGAGAAAAAGAACTGAATGCGGGGCAGGGCACAGCAGACATACACTCATACTTAATACGCAAACGGCGCACCCGCCGCGGCCTCGGCGGGCCAGCAGAAGGGCGATGCAAAACATGCATAACACGCGAGGAGGGGCGGTGTGTGTGTTGTGTGTTGAGGGATGGTTGGAATACATGAATTGCCTGCAACTCAATCGCTTTCATTTGATGCACCGACAGCCCCAGTCCCTCAAACGAACAGAGGGGAATGCATGCATACGCAAACACATCAGTACGTGCAAGAGTCGAATAGAGCTTGGCCTGAGAGCGCTGCGAGGCTGTCACATACAAAAAGGTATTGCCCACATGCTCAGGCCAGCGACACACAACGCCTCTCTGCGTGAAGCCGATGTACGAGTGCTTTGTACATGGCGATAAAACCATGTACAGGCCTTGCTTCGTATCTGATGACGGCGGGGCAAAAAGTGCCGACAAACGATCACGAAGATCCTTGACTGACCGAAGAAAGTGGGTAGGCGCTGACGAAACTAGAGAAAACATAACAGCAGCAGTCAGAGTATGCAAACGGGTGTGTAGTGCCTTGAGTGATGAGGGGGTCGGTCGGCGAGCAACACACGGACTCGCAAAATCCCTCACACCGTCCTGGAAGACAGTATGAAAGTGTGACGACATACCTGGCTGTAGTACAAACAGAACATCACAACGACACATACGCCAAGTACAGCGGCACTGTGAGCAGCGTGTCTGTGTACGTAGGTGGTGCAGTAAGTGGTGAAGGGGCCTGAGGAATCGCAAAAACCGGAACAGCTGACGTGAAGAAGACAAATGACAACCTGCAGCTTCACACCCAGACAATACACGATCCAATGCATGCAGTGATGGATGTACAGCAACCCCCCGTTCATGCACCGCAAAAGAGATATCCCCGTGTGTGCACCCAATACAGTGTGTGAGATGGTCATGGTCCGCTGTCGAACAGGAAGTGACGCTGCGCGTGCCAACTGATGGAGATGCTGCATTACTCGTATTGCTGAGGGAGGGGGAGGGAGGCCGGAAGGGGGACGGGGGCAAGACAGGTCGACGGCGTTGGAGCCATTGTGGTCGCAGTGCCAGCCGTGGTGGCATGACCACCGTCACTCCGACTCATGATCAGCAGACGGCCTCACATGGCCACGCAGACAACGGACGAAAAGACGAAGCTCTTACATGCCGACGAAACGGGAGGGGGAAGAAGGGAGCGTAGATAACGAGGAAGGGCTTGTTCAGGGGGAACGCCAGAAGTGGATATGTACTCCAAGTCAACAGGTGCATGCGCAGGGATGCGTTCTCGATCACGGGCTGGCCGCTCAGAGTCTGAGCCTTTATGAGCTAAAGAAAGCAGGACAGCGCGGGTCCGCAAAGCAGCGAGCGGAACGGTGCATTTCCTTGACGCAGTCCTTGTGAGTGTATATCAGTATGTATGCGCTGTGATTGCGGAGGCGGCAATTGTCTTCCTCGTTGTGCAGGTAGTCGGTCACCTCCCAGTCGTGGCCACCGAAATTGTCCTGCATCGCACCCATCTCGCTACAGGGGTACAGGTGTACGCTCAGCTTCGCCCGCAATGAAATTTATCATGTATACACACACACTCACTCCAAGTCGACACGTGCATGCACACGTGTGCGCACAAAGACACTCCTCATATACAC